CTGATTTCCAAACTTCTATTACTCAAGCAGCACACATTTCTTGGAATTTCAATTCCATGGTAAAATTATTTCTATTGCATTGTAGTGTTGAGAATGTTGCCTATTTATTTATTGAAGGAACAATTTTTAGAGCAATTAATTTGAAATAAGTACCTACCGTAGTTGCAATTTATCATTGAATTTCTTCGTATTTCTTTTCTTTCTTCTTTTTCTTTTCTTGGGATTCTACAATTGTATTTCTTTTCAGGGATAGGTATCTACAGTTGTGTAGATTTTGATTTTTAAAACTCATCTCTTTTTAAAACTAAAAGAGCGTTGAAACAATTATCACTTACCATGTATAACTTTCTGCAAAATTTGCCTCATTTGATGCTCCCACAAGTTCAGTTGTAAAGTCAATTCAGCCATAGCTTTCCGAAGAAAATTTCTTCTTTGATCTAACAATTAATGATTAATCGTCGAAATAGCTTTGAACTGATTAATTAAAAATGACAGTCAAGGGTGTAAAAAAATAAGACGGATCCGAGAAACTTTGCTACACAGCAAGGAGATATCCACTTCATAGCTATAAGCATTAAATGGATTACATTTTGCAATTAGGAGCCACTATTTCTGGTCCATTTTAGAAACAGAATACACGCTATTGGTTTCCCTATGCAGATATGTGCTTTTATGGGAGAGCTAGAGATAATGGTTCCTTATTGTAAAATGTAATCCAATTCCTTCACAAGTGCGAGACTTCATTTGGTAAAATAGGTAACAGTTTTCTTGCAAAATTGAGATGATATAAACTCCAAAAAACCCAAAAACTTGGGTAAAGAGACTCCGGGCAAGTCACCATCCTCTTGCCAAAAACCTCCAAAAGCTCTTCTTTGTTCCCCTCTTCAGTGGAAAAAGAAAATATCACACTACGACAGTTTCCATTTCTGTCATAGAGTACCCCAAGCGGACCAAAGAACGGAACTCTTAGTCGTTTACACATTTACCTATTTAACAAAATCTCCAGGAGGTCACAGACAGGCTGGCAGCCCCTCATCGGACCAAAACGCACACCGTACCATTTTTTCCTTGTAGGTATGTGCCTCCAAAGTACATGAAATGACTCCTTGAGGGGCGGGCAGGTTTGATTGAAATTCACGTTGTCTTCTGAAAATGAGCTAAAATTTTTACCTTGAAGAAGAAGAAAATCGAGTTATCATTTTCTTCCATACACGGTAGGTATGCCTATGAGAGGCACCAGGAACGCCTTCCAAAATTATTGATGCAACCCGCACGACTCCGAAGTCAGCGGAAACTTTCTTGAAGCGTCTCCTAAGATTTTCCCTACGCAATTATCCCCTTCAAAAATGAATGATGCAACAAGCGCGTCCTGTTTGACCACGAAAGCTCCTCAGATGAGAAGTCTTTTGGTCTGGTCAGAAAAATATTCGAACTTTATTTTTCATCTTCTCTTCTCATTTCCCGCATTGACGGAGGCGAAATTTTTTGGAAAGCATGACGCGCCCGGCTCAATGCGTAAAAAAAGTGCGAATAGAATATGACCTTCCATTATGAATGATCGTTCAAGAATACTTGTACAACAAAGACGGTACTGTTTATTTGGAAGTGTGCAAAGCCTCCTCGTAGTCATAATTGACTTTTTTCATTCTAATCCCGTACTATCAGTTCGGAAATTGGCCTCATTCTCAGGGAGCCCGAACATCTGTTTCCTAAATATTTTTAGCAGTCTATCTACAGGTTGATCCTCAGTGAGAGCATTGGGCCGGGCGCGTCATGCTTTCCAAAAAATTTCGCCTCCGTCAATGCGGGAAATGAGAAGAGAAGATGAAAAATAAACTTCGAATATTTTTCTGACCAGACCAAAAGACTTCTCATCTGAGGAGCTTTCGTGGTCAAACAGGACGCGCTTGTTGCATCATTCATTTTTGAAGGGGATTATTGCGTAGGGAAAATCTTAGGAGACTTGCGTAGGGAAAATCTTAGGAGACGCTTCAAGAAAGTTTCCGCTGACTTCGGAGTCGTGCGGGTTGCATCAATAATTTTGGAAGGCGTTCCTGGTGCCTCTCATAGGCATACCTACCGTGTATGGAAGAAAATGATAACTCGATTTTCTTCTTCTTCAAGGTAAAAATTTTAGCTCATTTTCAGAAGACAACGTGAATTTCAATCAAACCTGCCCGCCCCTCAAGGAGTCATTTCATGTACTTTGGAGGCACATACCTACAAGGAAAAAATGGTACGGTGTGCGTTTTGGTCCGATGAGGGGCTGCCAGCCTGTCTGTGACCTCCTGGAGATTTTGTTAAATAGGTAAATGTGTAAACGACTAAGAGTTCCGTTCTTTGGTCCGCTTGGGGTACTCTATGACAGAAATGGAAACTGTCGTAGTGTGATATTTTCTTTTTCCACTGAAGAGGGGAACAAAGAAGAGCTTTTGGAGGTTTTTGGCAAGAGGATGGTGACTTGCCCGGAGTCTCTTTACCCAAGTTTTTGGGTTTTTATCCAAATCACCGGTACCTATTATAAATCCCGATATATTATTGAAAAGAAATTGACTCGATATAAATGCAATTGCATTAAATAAGTCTTGATTTTGTTATTTTAAACGTATTTCCATGCAAAGAAGTTCAACCATGTCCATGCTTCATTCATTCATGAATTGGACTGCATACTGCAATTTGGAACTATAAATTCTAGCCCAGTTTAAAAACAACGTATGTTCCATTAGTTTCCCTGTGCACATAAGTGCACATAAGTGTTTTTTCAGATGAGCCAGAATTTATAGTTCCTAATTGCAAAATGCAGTCCAATTGAAGGTAAGCAATCTACATCCCGAAAATCTACCGATTTGCCGTAAAAAATTGCAGAAACTTGATATACCAGGTCGATGCACCCACTCGTTGAATTTACCAACCAATTTTGTGAGTGCAAATATATAAAAATCAATATGCTATAGTCATTTTGGGTGCATTTATTTTTCATGAAACAATAATAATTTCAATCCCGAAAAACCATCCATTTTCCGTATAAAATCGAAATGTGTCGACTATGCGGTCAGCATATACAGCCCCAGAATACTTTCAAAGCGCCTTTACTTTCCAGAATCTTGACGGAATTTTTTTGTTTGTCTTAAACGACTTAAGAGACACTGTAGTTAAAAAATATAAAGAATTTTCGATTTTGACACACAAAAAAAATGTTCGTTCAGGCACACCGTGTATTGTATGGAGTGCTGCGCTGGTATTCAATTCTTGTCTTCAGATCAAAATTCTTACAAGGAAGCCCCTTGCAAGAGGCGAATTTTTTGTAATTGCTCCCAATTTTTTCTCCGTTATATAATTGAATTGCTTGCCAAATTCTGAGGTCAATTATATTTAATTGTAATTTATACATTTCTTTTTTCCCCTTCATTTTATTTTTTGTATGGAGAAGTTTCGTTGATTTCTTCGGATTTCGAATACTGTAACTTCTCTTCTATTCGGCCGATTTTTATGAATGAGACCTCTTTCAATTTGTCTTTTAACGGAAAGTATGGAAAAAATTGCTAATTACGCGCGAAACAATTTTTTTCGAAAATTGAATGAATCCTAGCGTAACGGTGAAATGGTTAATCAAGCGTAAGTAATTGGATGAGGGGCTGAGGATCCCGGCCGCCTGGCGACCCTCATCATCTATTGTTCGTCGAGACGCCGACGCAGTGATCAGGAGCGTGTGGACGAGAGGGCTAAGTGGATTCCTGTATGAGCCACGTTTAGCAAATGGTCTAATGAGTCTACAGGCTCATCATAGATTGGACTTACGACTATCTTGGCTGGCCCTGGCTATCAGAGCAGTGGTACCAAGTTTTGAAAAGCATAACATGGGTGTAGATATCTGTCTATGCAACGTTTTAAACAAAACGGAGGAGTAAAATTCTCATTCGAAGAGTGCTGTCCTGCTCAGCGATCCTCGAATCAGCTCTTTTGTTTCTGTTTATATATGCATATTTTAAATCAGCGCGTCGCATTCTTAGGTTTTTTTTTAAAAAAAAACCAAGTAAAGTAGACTCTTGGTATTCATTGCACATGAACTAGAAAGCCCCAGAATGAGAACAAACTGTAAATCATAATATTGACGGATTAGTAAACTTTTTACTTGCTTTGGAAAATCTCAGAAGTTCGCGGCAGTCACTTTCCGGTAAGGAACTAAGGGACTCGGTTATTGTATCGAGTGGGGGGTCGAAACAATCGCAAAGGCGGTATACTACGTATATGCGCCAAAAATACCTGAGGGCGGCAGTTTCACTTATTCCCGTCGGGAGAAGTTAAAAAAGAGGGTCCAAATTCGATTTTAATCCATATTTGATGGAGATGGTGGCACAGAGTATCTGATTCCATATGAATATAACTTCCGTGGCCTAACGAGACTAGATCAGTCCTTGCGGAGATCCCCCGCCCGCACGGCTCCACGGCCGCCCCTCGCCCGCCGGAGTTTTGCCGTGACGTCAGCCCCAGACGAGGAGCCCACTCTAATCCCCGGCATGAGGATCACGTGAGATCCCCTGAGAGATTCGTTTAAGGTTGTAAAATCGTAAACTTGGGGGTGTGATATGTGGTTATTTTGATGTATTTTGTGGTTCTGTGGATGTTTGTAGTGATAGTAATTATAGGAAATTGTAAATGATGACAAATAGGCCAGCGCGTCTTGAAAACGACACCTCATGCGTTTTCAAACTTCCCGCTCGAGTGGGCTCCCGCTGACGTTATGCGGAGTGGAGGTCTTATTTTCGTTTTCGGAAGGACTGACGGCCATAAATAACTTTGTTACACGAGAGGCAACCTTAGTTCTAAATACGATCACCCCAGCGCTATTTTGGCAGGAAATATGAATTACTCCAAGGTATAGGCCTCTCCCGTACCATTGGAAATAATCGTGCCTGCAGAAATAGATAAACAAAAGCTTATGTCACCGATACAGCTCCTTTTTTAGTAATTGCATTGATTCAAATTTATCTTTGTCCCAGGGTGAAAAAGGTGAAAGAGGAGACATACCATCGATACGCAATCTAACTTTAATTATTGGACCTCGCGGTTTCCGCGGTGACACGGGATCTGCAGGTGAGACTTGATTCAATTTTCTTGCAATTATAAAGAAATAAAAACGCGGTTTTTCAGCGAATTCTGGATCCATCTTAACCATCACTATTATCACCGTAACGAGACGATAAATCTTACATGGAAATGAAGAAGAAGTGGTTTGAAAAAACTGAGTTCGAGGGAAAAGGTCGTGATCCAGAAACTAGAGGAAACATGGACTTCCTACATGAGGGTCGTTTTCAGCCAAAAGGACAAAAGTTTAGCGGCCTCTTTTTATTTTATATCATAGGTAATTATTTAATTTTTCTGCCGAGGGTCCGCTAACAACATTGGCGATAAAGTTTCCGAACGGAAAAACCTTGTAGAGTTAATGCTGCTTTGTGTAGTGAGCTATTTTCAAAAGGTACATTTCTTTTAGATGGTTGTTGGTCCAAAAATGTGGGATTTTTGTCATTTCGGTAACAAACTTCACTTTCTGCTTCACCACTTCTTCCTTGATTTTATGCATGAAAATTATTTTTTCCTCAAAGGCACTGCTCAAAGGCTCAGTCATAATTCATGAATTATAATCATTTCAGCTCCATCAGACATTTGGAATCAGAGGGTAAACTGAGGAATGCTTCTTTGATATGACAGACTATTTATGGACGTAATTTCAACGACGCACCCCTCAGTTTACCTACCCTCTGATTACAAATGTTTGGTGGTTCTGAAATGATCATAATTTATAACTGAGCAGTGCCTTTAAGGAAAAAATAATTTTATTGCATGAAATCAAGAAGAAAGTGGTGAAGCAAAGTGAAGTTTATCACCGAAATGACTAAAAGCCCACATTTTCGAACCGCAGCGTCCATATAAGAGGAACGTAACTTTTGAAAATAGCTCGCTGCACGAATCAGCATTGAACTCTACGAGGTTTTTCCGTTCAGGAAATGTCTTGGCCAACATTAATAATGAACCCTCGGAAGGAAAATAAATATGATAAAACCTAAAAAAAGGCGACACAATTTTTGTCCCTTTTAGCTGAAAACGACCCATACCTAAGTAGGTATTTTTCTAAGTAATATAGAATGAGTAAGAAGAACTCCGTTGCATCTAACCTGGAGCAAAAAGGGAGCACTTCGCTTTTGTAGAGTTAAGTACTACTCAACACATAGCAGCTGGTTTTGAAATGCATCCATACAGGGTGATCCAAAAGTCCCTTCCACCCCCTCTAACTTTTTACCTAATTGAGGTAAAGATTTGAAACTTGGGGGATGATCCTAGGTCAAAGGGAGCTACTTTTTGCCCCCCCCCTAAAATTTTCAGGGGGCCCCTTTGGGGGAGCAACGGACCCTAACTTTTAATTTTCAAATATAAAGACCCCCTTTGAGATAACTTGTTAGAAAGAGCATAAAAAAAGAAAACTTTTCGCGCAAACCCGAAGTCAATATCTCAAACCGTTTCGAAATGGCGGCCGGTTAAAGTTCAAAATGGCCGAAAATTCACACCGGTTATTTGTCGATGGATTTGCGCGAAAATCGGTAGCAGAGACAAATCGGTAGGTACGGGTATTTTGACACGAAAAAAACGAATTTGAAGTTAGATTTTCAAAAAAACCGAAATTTCCAAAATGGCCGCCGGGTAAAGTTCAAAATGACTGAAAATTGATTTTTTTAGAAATCTAAGTTCAAATGTGTTAATCTTATGCCAAAATACTCTCAAATTTCAAATTTTAGGCAAATCCATCAGCAAAAAACCAAGGTGGCAATTTTCGGCCATTTTGGAATTTTCAGTTTTTCTGAAAATCTAACGTCAAATTCGTTTTTCTCGTGTCAAAATACCCCTACTTACCGATTTTCGCGCAAATCCATTGACAAATAACTGCCCTAGTAGCACTAAGACGTAAAATTTACCAAAAAAAAATTCGTAAAAAAAGACGTAAAATAGATCAAAAATGAAATGCCAATGTAGTCTTTTTTACAAGAATAATTCGTAAAGAGTACAAGATTGTTTACGTAAAAAGATCGAGTTTCTTTACGTAAAAAGTTATGTGCAAAAAAACTCTTGCCTCCTTAAATTGATTAAAATGATAAATCGTAAAGAAACAAATTGACTTTTTACCTATCTAAATCTGTAGTCAATTAATTCTCCTTGAGATCAACTTTCAAATTATTATCTACCTGTCGGGAATGGAACCTGGGACCTGCCTACCAGGAATCGAATGCGCTACCTACTGAGCAAAGGAGGATTCTGTATTAGAGGGGCGAATTTGCGCTGTATAAGTGAATATTTTTATTGTTGAATATGCGGGAGAATGAATTGCGGAATATTTTTTGAATTTGGAAAAACTGGATAAGGGCAAAAACTAATATTTATCATGGATATTTTACTGATGGTATACCTACTTTCAAAAGTGCCTTTGTTGTTCAGGAATATGTGAAAAAAATTATGTACATTTTAATAATATGTCCCCCTTTTTTCTTTTTCTTTTCTTAAATATTATTAACATGCATCAATTTTTTATAAGAATGTCTTAACTATTTCAATAAAGATAAGTTATTAAAATCTTCTCGAACTTTTAAAAACTCTGGCTTATTCGTTCAGAACAATGTGTTTTTGTATCAAGTTTTCGGGCTATACTTTTTTTGCAAACAATCTTTAAGGGACATTAGAATCTTTTGCTTAATTTCCTTGTCATAAAAACTACAAAGGTATTTCCTGTTCGGTCAATTCAGCGAATTTTCCGTTCAGACATTTTTTCCTGATTTTCTACATGTAAAAAATCGCAAATTTGTTACGTACAGATTTCAGTTCAATCCCCCAGTTTTTTTTACGTCTTTGATCACAAATTTTTTACGTTAAGTTCTCAGACTCTGATTTTTTACAAGTTCTTTTACATCTTTCGTACTCGTAAAATTTACCAGTTTTAATTTTTTTTCACGAATTAAGTTACAAGATGTGCTACTAGGGTGGTATGAATTTTCGGCCATTTTGAACTTTAACCGGCCGCCATTTTGAAACAGTTTGAGATATTGACTTCGGCTTTGCGCGAAAAGTTTTCTTTTTTTTATGCTCTTTCGAACGAGCTATCACAAAGGGGGTCTTCCCATTTGAAAATTAAAAGTCGGGGTCCGTTGCCCCCGCAAGGGGGCCCCCCTAAAAATTTAAGGGGGGCCAAAAAGTAGCTCCCTTTGACCTATGAACATCCCCGATGTTTCACATCTTTACCTCAATCAGGTAAAAAGTTAGAGGGGGTGGAAGGGACTTTTGGATCACCCTGTATAGTCAAAACTAGGTTCAAATGGGTCTGTTCCACGCAAGAGATAGCCGTCCGAATACAGTTCAAAGGAGTAAACATGCTCGATAATCACGCTGGGCACATTACAATAGTCTGAAATCCACTCCTTATTGTACAGTCTGCTTAGGTTATAACACGAGTTTTCAAACTTTCGCTGTCAAATGTAAAAACGCCGTGAGTAAATCCAAACTTTGAAAAATTGAGTTAAATATGATAATAGGTAATTGGACTAGGGAAAATCTAATGGTGGAATCAGAATTCTGATATCACAGTTAGTTTGCGAGATATGGAGCCCGCGCTTGCCGTACATCCACCGAACTTTGTAAATTGGCACAGGAAGAACGCCGCAACCGCCGGGTACCCAGCAAGAACGCGGCTCATCCAGATGAGCTGCACGGATGAGCCGTGTTTTTACTGTGCATGTGACGCATGTGACGTTTTTGCTCGGGAGTCCATGGTGTTTTCGGCCAGTCACGACTATTTTACCACTTAGCGCTCGCCGTTCCTCCACCCATGAATTTGCATAAAATTGGTTCGATTAGTTTAAGTTGTCCATTTCGGTGTAAGGAACACTCTCTAAAAAGTCCCTTAAACAGTTTGTTCGTTTTGTCCATGTTCGGGACGAAAAAGGAAATGACGAAACCGGTAAAACTGATCTTGCAAGGTCTGCATAACTCAAGGTCTCGATAGCGCAAACAGGCTTATTGTTCCTCCCCGTCAACATGGACGCGTGCCACCTTTTATGCGTCTCCTTTTTTGATCACGATTTAACACTTCCGTCGTCCTAGCATAGCTAGTTATTATTCTACTAGCGGAAAGCCCGTGACTATAGTCACGGGTCTAGATGCTTCACCAAAAATTTAGTTACGGGGAGCATTAGGCCGATATTGTTTCGGGGATGATGCCACTATTCGACCACATGGGAGCTTATTTCGCCCGAGTGAGCGTGCCATTTCACGACGATACCGCTATTCGACCACGCGGAAGCTCCTGCTGCCTACACTGAAATTGAGGGCGAAATGAAATGACGTTAATTTATCTTCTCCAGTTTGGTGAAATGCTATTTTTTAAAAACGTTCCAAGTAATCGTGCAATTTTACGATGAAACAGCTATTCCACTATTTCCACGTTCTTATTTTATTTCAATCTCCCTCTCACTGCTTTCTTCTTTTTACTTTTCATTTCTTCTGTCTGTTTTCTCCCACTATCATTATCTCCTTTTTCTCTCTAAATGTATTCTAGCTTATTTTCTTTCACTCTTCTTGTTCTGCACCATTCGTTGTTCTCCCTTTTCTTCATGGTCATCATCAGCATCAGCATCATAATCATCATCCTCATCTCTCTCTTTTAGTGTTCATGTGCTCGGACGGGAAGTAAAAAAAAATAAAAACAGATTAATGAATGACAGTTAAGAGGAGCAACTACTTTACTGACAAACGCGGTCCCGACATGACATAAAAACAAATTAGCAGACAGAGGACGTCGATTGCACGGACGATGATACCACTCTTCGACCACGTGAGAGCTTGTGTTGCCTACACTAATCATTGAAGGCAAACTGTCATTTCACGACGACAATACCGCCATTCAACCGTAGAAACTCGTGTTGCCTACCTTGAAATTTAAGGTGAACTGAAATGGCGTTACTGTAATCTTTTCCTGTTTGGTAAACATTTTTTTTTTTTTTTTTTTTTTTTTTTTTTTTTTTTTTTTTTTTTTTTTTTTTTTAATTGGAGAGATCGGCAATCCACTTGATAAGTGTTCAGCACAATTTATGGTGAGAGGTTAAGAGCGTGAAGGGGGTCTTGATCCGGTAGACAAAAAAATGTAACATAACCTAAAACCTACCAATGTGTGATTAGATCGATTGTTTTTTATCTTAATCTCAATTTATAAAACTCGACACATTTAATTTATTCAAAATTCAATTAATTTAAAATCAAATTCTTTGTCCGGCAAGGATGAATGTTACTGAATTAGGATGAACTTAGATTAAACGGGATAAATGCAGTTTTATGCTTATCAATCTTTTTGCATCTGGAAAATGCAGAAACTTGGTATTACGGACGTTTACGGTTGGATGCGAATGAAACTCTGGGTCCTGTTGGTTTTTGGTTCGACAAAACATGCCTTCTCCGCAATGCATTTCTGAAATGTCAAATACTTTCAAAATGGCAGCATGCGAATCCACCCGTAAACGTCCGTAATACCAAGTTTCCACCATTTTCCTCGCCATTTTGGAGTTATTCAGAATTTCAAAAAATCTGATGACAGATTCGTCTTATTCATACCGAAGTGTCTCCTGATACCAAGTTTTATGCAAATTCACCGATAAGCAGCCTAATTTATTCTCTTGCCGCTCAAGGTCGCCATATTGACCGCCGCCATTTTGAAGAGGACAAAAATTTTCCGGAAAAATAATGCCAGAATCGTTTTTCTCGTTTAAAAAAACCTATGAGATCCAAGTTTCATCCCAATTCATCGACGAAAACGGGGATTTAGATTGCCGATATTTTGAAATTTGACCGGCGGCCAGTTTGTCAAAAATCATGAGTTTGACCTGCGGTTTGTGCCAAAAATTTTCTTCTTTAATTCTCTTTGAATTGATGTGTCACAAAGGAGATGTTGCCGTTTGAAAAAAAAAGTTGGGACCCGCAGCCCCTCCCCCCGGGGGGAGGGGGGCGGGGGGGCAAAGTTTGGGGGCCCTGAAAGTAGCTTCCATTGATCTTTGAACATTCCCGAAGTTTTGTTTCAAAATTTTAATTAGGTAAAATTTTAGAAGGGGTGGAAGGGACTTTTGGGACGCCCTGTATACTTGAAGATAGAATATAGGTGAGTTGAGTAGAAACAAAACGAACACAACAAACACAACAAACGCATTAAATACAACAGGCGCATCAAACACAACAAATATAGCAAACTCATCAAATGCGACAAACACATCAAACACGACAAAAATACATTAAACATCAAACACAACAAAAACATCATACATAACAAAAACATCAAACACTACAAACACAACAAATACATCAAACACAACAAACACAGCAAAATCTTCAAACACGATAAACATCCCTTTTATCCCGGTTAATATCAATACATCCCGTTTTATCCCTATCTATACCCATATCTATCCTGATTTATTCTATCTATCCCGTTTCAAATTGATTATGCCACTTTCCCATCCTGTTTCATATCGGACAATTTATCAAAGATCGATAAACAAAGATCGATGTATCGAAGGGTGGGATAACCCTACCTATCCTGTTTTATCCTTATCTATGCCTTATCTTTACGGTTACACACTGATTATTCTCCTTTTCTCAAACTTTCTCCATTTAACTCAATTAATATCAATGTCGTTCTCCATCCCGTTTTATCCATGTCTATCACATTTTATATCGAACTATATATCGAAGATCGATAGACATTACCCTGTTTTATCACTATCTATCCTGTTTAATTATTATCCACCCCCTTTCACACTGATTATACCCCTTTTCTTAAAATTCCTACCTTTTATCCCGGTGAATATCAATAAATTCCGTCTTATCCCTGTCTATCCTGCTTTATATCGAACGATATATCGAAGATCGAGATACAATACAATATTTTATCCCTACGAATGAAACCCCAAAATATGATGGTAGGGGTGCAAGGCATGCCATAAGAAAAAAAATATAAATAAAATTAGTTTGGGGGGGGCTACGGGAGTTAGGAAAATGAGCTGTGAGGGGAGGGGTAGAATAAATGCTGGCAAAAAAATTAGAGCTAACCTGGCAATGATTAAAAAAAAAAAAAAAAAAAGTATAAAATCTGTTGACTTGGTCGAGAAATGGAAATAAAACATCAGCTGATAGCAAACAAAGGTTACCAAGGAAACCAAGGAATGGAACTTTCATAAAAACAGTTTAGTGGAAAACAGCGTAAGTAGAGCACTTACGTTAATTACCGTTTATAAGTAAACGGTAAATGCGATTTAACCGAAAATCTATACAGTTCTTCATCAGATCAAAATGGACAAAATTACAAAATTTGAGACAGCTAACGTAAATCTAACGATAGTTATCGTGAACGAAAGAAGTGCTGACATAGATCCGGTAACTATTATAGGTGGGATGGGATTATAGGTGGGATGGGATGGGATGGGATGGTCCTAGATGGTTAGTGCGAGCCATTCCAAACATCTTACCCGCAGACGTTCGAGTTGAAATTTTGTTTGCCATCGTAATTTTATCCAACCGTCATTGTCGTGTTTGAGCTACTGCATGCGAGCGTAAAATGTGCCACGTGTTCTTAGAAGGCGTAGGTAATTTGCCGAAACTGTCACCCGGTTTTGACTTGCTCCCCCCCCCTCCCCTGGGTTGACAACAACTCGGATGTATTGGGACTTTTTTGTGAGTATTCTTTACACTCAAATAAACAACTTAACGAAAATGCTTAGATAGACTCATCTATAGACGATTCTTCATGGAAGAAGGAAACAAAACGCTCCCAAGTCTATGCTTCAAAGAACTTGAAACCCTGTCTGACTTAATTAGCAAAAAGCGTATAAAGAATGAAGAGCAGACACTGATGGACTCCGTTTCGAAGGAAAAAAAATGCGTTACTTTCCGCTTATCCGCATTTTTTTCTTCTTTTTTTTCCTATGTTCCTAAGAAAATTTCTGCTTCTTCCGAAATTCTCTTTATCGAGACAAAATCGCTCGGGACGAATGGTCTTAATTTTGCGGAACCGACTATATCTTTGTGTTCTTTTTTATAACCTATGTGATTTGGACAGGCTCACAAGGAGCTCCGGGAGCCCAAGGATTACCGGGCATTGATGGTTTACCTGGTTTTGATGGTGACAGAGGTTACCCAGGCCGCAATGGACAGATGGGCCTTATCGGAGAGAAAGGAATAGCTGGAGATGATGGATTACCTGGATTAACTGGTCTCCCAGGTTCAAGAGGTGAGTTTTAAAACTTTGATACGTTTACAAAATGTTTAAACCTACTTACTTGTATTCAATTTTTACTCATTGGCACCTACACTTTGCTCATCTATTGAACATACATGTTTGCTACTACACAGGGTAGTCCAAATTTTTCTTGTCAAGCTTTTCTCCTGGTTACCTTAGGTCAGACGAAGAAGTCGAGGACCGTAGAAATGAATCAGTCCCCCTGGAATCCAAATTTCATTGTGTAAAGCCCCTTATCGGGCTACCTTTGAGGGATACAGAGGAAAGCTGATTCCGAAAGTCGCAAGTTTTGGTAAAGTTTGAAGTCATTCAATCATAATAAGCACGTGCGACTAATTTAAACCTGAAATTTTTACCGATATTCAAAAACTGGACCATTTCCGTTCAAAAACATGATCCCTAAAGAATTGGAGGGCAAAGCTCCCCTTCAAAAAATATCAGGTTGCTAAATTGACGTAGATGATCGGCACGGTGCGCCTGAAGTGACTTATTAAGAACTTTAAATGTACAACTTTGAATGGTGGGAGAAAATTCTCAAATTCTACTTCCTGTTGATGGAGTAGATTTGATAAGTTTCTGTCAACCCGAACCGCTGGTTTTTTCCCGACTCATCGCTTTACCCGGCCTCTCTTGTTAGTTGTATATCGTTTGGGCGACTCGTCTAAACGATACACTCATTTGGGCGACTCACCCAAACGATAATGCACGATATTGCAACGTCGCTATTGAGCTTACCTTATTGCAGAATATAAGCTGATTATTTTCTTCATAAACGAAAATTACAGTTGAACTTGTGCGTGCGATGAATATTTGGGTTTGGTTGATAGGATGTTCCCAGATGTTTCTTCAATAAAATTTCAGAGGAAAAATCTAGGAACTTCCCTTTNCACCCATCACTGCAAAAACAAATTTTGAGTCAGTTTTTCTTTCTTATTCATATCCTATTCATTTTAAAGTTAATGAATTTTCTTTCCTTGATAATTGTAGCCCATTTCTTTGAGATATTCTAATCGCAAAATTTGACCGGAAGTGTATCGGCTCCACAGGTCGGAAATTTTTTCTTCTCTGTCTTTGATTTCCTTTCGTACTTCCATCTCAATGCAGCGTTGCAATATCGTGCATTATCGTTTGTGCGAGTCGCCCATCAAATAAGTAATGGCATAATTTTCATGGTACCTAAATGTATAGAGTATACAGAAGAATCATAATGACCGATTCTGAACGAAATCAAAATCCAGCGCTTAAGGTTGCAACGCGATTCGGGTCATTTTGACAAATCTTAAATCGTAAAGCTGGCCACATCGCGATTGTAAATTGTTCAAATATGCCTTTTCTAATAAAAAACTCTCAGATTGCACATACCTCGTAAAATTTTGGAGAGAATCACACCTCGAAATCTTCATTTCATCATCGAACTTGGTATTTTAGAGTCTGCAACTTGGCAACGCTGCCACGGGGGGGGGGGGCAAAAAATTTTGTACAGGCATGAAAATTTTAGGAAAGTTATATCTTATATTAGGTGAAAACGTATTAATTAAAAATTCAGATCGGTCAGGGCAAAGATGAGGGAGAAGAGGTTTAATTGTCCCTTCATGCCCATGTTTGCTATTTTACCCCTTAAAAAGCACAAAAATTCAATTATTTTTCAAAAAGCACACTCTACTTCGAAATTGCCCAAAACCCCATCAGGGAGTACCCTACTACAACTTACGGCTTGAATTTTTGATTCCGAATGGAAATCACACTTGGAAACCTTCAGTTTATCATGAAATTCGATATTTTGGGTTCCGCAACTTGGCAACGCTGCCGCGGAGGCAAAAGATGTTGTACGGGAATGAAAATTTCAGGAAAGTCACATCTTATACCAGGGGGAAACGTACCTACTAAAAATTCAGATCGGTCAAGGCAAGGATGAGGGAGAGGGGGTTAAATTTGACACCATTAGGCCAATTTTGCTATTTTACCCATGGAAAACCACAACAACGCGATCATTTTTCCTAGAGCTCCGATGACCTATTTCGAAATTGCCCGAAAACCCATCAGGGAGTACCCCTTTACAACCTCCAACTTGCATTTTTGATGTACATTCAAAGTTCTTAATAAGTCACTTTAGGCGCACCGTGTTGAAAAGGAGGATGTTCTCCTAGGTAATCGATTCCAAAAATCCAAAATTGATGCTCCTCCGGCCTCCGTACTTCACTAATACCTAGACCGATTAGGACTCTTAAACTTTTTGAACTTTTAAGCTAAAGTCCCAAGGGACTTCGAGTCCACAAAATTTCGATGTGTTCATGAGCCGTCTAAGCACCTGCGATAACATTATTTTTACAAGCCTGTAGGTCGCAATCTTGCAACCTAGTAATACGTGCTCGAAGGCTCTGGCTTCTACTTTTTACGGTGTGTACCTATTTCGCAATGGCAAATTTTGAATTTTTTGGTGCCAACATAGGTTGATTTAAATTTTCCATTCATACTAATTAGTCCAGGCGAATAAGGAAAAGAGCCTGCAAAAATCCCGGGTAGCAATGTTTTCAGCGATTCCTATGTAATTCTTGACGTAGAATCCGAATTTTAACTTTGCTTCAAAAATTCGGACCGGAAAGTTGCTAAATAAGAAAATTTGTGGTCAGATCAACTCCTCGCGAGTTACAGACCATAATCCGCCAAAAGAGCCAATTTTAGGCAATTTTTGTAAAATTTGCAATGACAACTTTTCAATCAACTTCTCAACCGTTTTAATATTTGAGGAAGGAACAACTAATCATTCTGTTTCGAAGTTGCATGAGCCTCGCCACGGCATCGGGTACATTTTATAATTTCATATAATTTACATGAAAGGAAACACCTTTTATTTATCCACCCTAGTGGTTTCCGATCATACGCATGTTTTTTCTGCTTTCCTCAAGGACAACAGAAGAACATATCGCTTCCCCTTTCAGCAGTGGATGAAATGAGCCCTGAATTAACTCCCTTGAGGACGTTGAAAGAACATTTACAATGAACCATCCAACGTTTCCAGCTTGTAAAAGTACATTATCTACTTTTCCTAACAACAGTACTTAAAACATACACAATTGAATAAAAACTCGCTGATTGTTCAACTATTCACGAGTAGAATGAAAAAGCCAAAATCAATTGATCCTGTTTCGATCTGAACAAATCAATTTTTTTCAGTTTTTTCATAATGTTTTAAGTACAAGTACTTATACTGTCCTCAAGAAAAATAGAAAAGATAATTGCACAAGCTGAAAAGGTTGGATGGTCCATGGCAAATTTTCTTTCGACGTTCTCAATGGAGCTAATTCTGGGCTCATTTCATCCACTGCTGGAAAGGAACGGAGGACTAATAACACTTTTACTTATGACAATGTCCACACGATATCCTGTGAATATTCTGCGGATTTTACGAATATCCTGAGGTCATACTGACAATATTTTGTGGACTTTTCAAGCATTTTTTTTTTCAAATATCCCCAGAATGTCCACACAATATTTTGGGGATTTTCAAATATCCCCAGAATATTCTGGGGATTTCGTTTTGTCTCACGAAAATGTTCTGAGAATGTTGTGAGAATTTTCCGGAATATTCTCGCAACATTGTCAGAATATTTTGAATTTGCCTCGAAATATTATCAGAACGTTCACAAAATATTAGACTGCTAATTGGGGTGGGGTATGAGTTTAAACTCCTTTCGGTTCTGAAAAATACCTTCACATGATAAAACTCGAGACTGACTTGAGATTCCTATTTACTTAACGTGGAAAAATATGAGAGATTGGGTCTAGGCTCACTCATTCATGAACATTATGTTTTTCTTCTTTCTTTCCTTCAGGTAGGGCAGGAGAGCCTGGTCTCCCGGCTCCAAGAGGACGGCCCCCTCCTAATAGAGGTTTCTACTTCACGTATCACTCCCAGACAGATATGATACCAAATTGTCCTAAGCACACCGTGAAAATGTGGGACGGTTATTCATTGTTACATTTCATGGGCAATGCCCGCGCTCATGGTCAAGACTTAGGTAAAATGTTTGTTCTAAAATAATTTCAGTTTACAATCTTCTTATTTGATGGAGGCACGCAACCAGGACATGCTTACATTTTTTATTCGTTCTGCCTAACTGGCTCTTCGTATCTGTAAGGTTGAAATTAAATTGCAATACTAACGTAAAATTATCAGTTTTTTGCAGCACTATTGTAATATCTTCCAATTCTTGACACAATATTTCTTTTCTTGAAAACAATGTAACGTCATTGGAAAGTAAAAATTGAGTTTTTAGAGACGCCAAAATTTGGGAAATTTGTTGTGAAAAGGGTTCAAAGTGTTGCAGCGTTAGCTTGCTTTTTTNTTTGGGGGGGGGGGGGGGAGAATTTGGACCACATTGTTTCTGCGAAGTTTGCCTGGAATAGAAAGTTTGCACTTATGCACTCCTGTCCAAGCGCCATCATTTTACACGAATGAAGAAAATTGATCTACAGGGTGTCCCAAAAGTTCGTACCCCCCTAGTAACTTTTGAACGGTTAGAGATAGAAAAACGAGACTTTGGGAATTTTTCTATCTCAAAGGGGACCATTATCTACGAGGGTCAGAATTTTTGCCTTTCCCATAGGGGGGGGATGGAGGGGCCCCCACCTATTTTTTCAAATGGTAACCCCTATCTTGTGATACAGAACTGGAAAGAACATTAAAAACTAAAAATTTTGGCGCAAACCACAGATCAATAGCTTGATTTTTGACAGAGTTATGATAGGTCAAAGGTCCAATTTTACCTTTTTGCAAAAAATCATAACTCTGGTTCAAATTTTCGTAGAGTAAGAATAACACAGGAAAATTTACCAAATTTTAAGCACTTCAGTAAAAATCACAGAAAAAACTTCAATTTAATTTTGGGGGGGGGGGGAGGAGGAGGTTCGGACCCCCAAATACGTCAGTTCAAAGGTCATGCGATTTTCCCGCGAAATGAGTCAATTATCCCCTAACTTGGCCTCAACGGTAAGTTCAAAATTAGTTCAAAGACATTGCGTTTTCGAGTTCCAAATTTCGGGCAAAGTTAAAAAAAACGAAATTTTAGGTGATTCAATTGACCGGAAAAATTTCGTTTTTTTTAACTTTGCCCGGATTTTGGGGACTCGAAAATGCAATGTTGAACTAATTTCGAATTTACCGAGATAATGTTGAGGTAAAGTTAGGGAATAATTGACTCATTTCGCAGGAAAATCGTATGGCCTTTAAACTGACGTATTTGGGGGTCCGAACCTCCTCTTCAAACTCAGTTTGAAGTGATTTCTGTGATTTTTACTGAAGTGCTTAAAATTTGGTAAATTTTCCCGTGTTATTCTTACTCTACGAGAATTTGAACCAGACTTATGATTTTTTGCAAAAAGGTAAAATTGGACCTTTGACCTAACATAACTCCGTCAAAAATCAAGATATTGATCCGTGATTTGCGCCAAAATTCTTAGTTTTTAATGTTCTTTCCAGTGCTGTTTCACAAGATAGGGGTTACCATTTGAAAAAAAAGGTGGGGGCCCTTCTGGCTGCCCTAAGGGTGGGGAGAAAAATCTGACCCTCCTAGAAGATGGCCCCCTTTGATATAGAAATATTCTCTAAGTTCGTTTTTCCATCTTTAACCGTTCAAAAGTTGCTAGGAGGGGGTTCGGACTTTTGGTACACCCTGTATAAACAAGAAGCCATTTTTTGTACCATTTCATTACAATTCATGACCAGCCAGAGGCTATTTTAAAAATTAAAAGAAGATTACAATCTTACTGCAATTTCTTTTGGGGAAAAATTGTGGTGCAATTTTATTATATGACAAAATGAAATTACAATTTCTTGCGATACTGTTGAAATATATTATCATCCATAATATTGTTATCGTACTTAAAATCCCTGCAAAGCTCATGTATGAATGAAAATTTATTTCATTCGTTTCTCTCCGTTTCATGACTTCATTAACAGCAGTGAACATATTTTAGAAGTAAATAAAAATGAAAAGGTATATCCTCTTTATTTTTATGATACACTTCTTCACGCTTGCTCAAAAATGGAAACCCCTTTTCCAGAATAAAGATTTCCCAAAAGAAAAAAAAAATAACATCTTTCCCCTTAAGGAGTATCTTACAGCTTCCTCCTCAAAGTCTTAGATGGGATACTCCCATATGTTACCGCACGTCCTTCGCTGATGATTATCCCGAGAAAAATCCCTCGCGCGGCAGCGTTGCCAAGTGGAAACCTCGATATAGGTATCATAGCTTGTCAGCAGATCAAAATATCAACTTACAATTTGCGATTTGAATTTGAAGATATTTTTTTTAAGTTTCCTCCGAAAGGTCGTCCAGAAGTTTTCAATGTCTTAATACATTGTAATGACCAACAATATTCACTACTTACCGAAAAGTCATTGAATGTAATGAAATAGACGAAAAATGTAGAAAAAGACGAATCTAATATGTGTAAAACGATTCAAAAAATGAATGAATCCATGGTTTTTTCAAAGTCACCTATCTTGTTTGTATTCGGATTACAGGTGCTCCTGGCAGTTGCTTGCAGAAATTCTCTGTCATGCCATTTTTGTTCTGTAATTTGAACGATGTGTGTGATTATGCGAGTAGAAGTGATTACAGTTACTGGCTTAGTACACCAGAACCTATGCCTATGATGATGACTCCAATACCAGCATCTGATGTTCAGAAATACATATCACGGTAATAAACTGTTTTTTGGTTGATACTTGAAATGAAAATTTCCTTGAAATCTAACCTAAGCCTTGCATGTTCCGTTTTCAAAGCTTTTTTTAGAGAAGTTCTTTTAAGGCCCAACCAAGTGATGAAACCTATCTAACTATAAAAATATGTTCTTAACGAGCAACCTTTACGTTCTTCACACGTAGCAATCTATACAGACTGAATGACAGGAACAATCTCCAGGAAATCCCGTCGAAGCTAAATTTTATTCACCTGAAGGCTCCTTTCTCCCTGTTCCCCTCAAAATGGAGAAGGGAAGTTTTGATTTTGATAGAGTTCAACATTTTGCTAGGACTACTCAAAAAATCAGAGCAACCCTCTTATCTCTAAAATCAATTGATTAATAGTCGTCGTGTGTCCCCGTAATTTGACCGTCATTTTCCAGGATGGCCGCCAAAAGCTAGTTTTCGTTGTTTTCTTATTTTATGGCGACTCTAATTTACCTATTTAAGTTGAAGGCGAAGTTTAAATTCAGAAGAATCATGCATTCATGGTAAACACTGGATTTGGTAAAGATGGTCAATATTTCACTTAATAAGGACCCTAGTTATTTCTTCCTCTACGTTCTTATGTCGATGACTTATTGCAGATGCGCTGTTTGCGAAGCTCCTACCAGAGTGATAGCTATTCACAGTCAAACGCAGACCATTCCAAGCTGTCCAACCAATTGGGAAGAGCTATGGATCGGTTTTAGTTTCATTATGGTGCGTATATTTTTTACAGCATTAAAATTTGCAAAAAAAGAGTTAAAGCATGACCAAATCTTTGTAGTCCTTTTTAGCAGAACATATCGCTGATAGTAACGTTCCATGGGTCCCTGTTGGAATTTTGCCCAAGGTTCCTTCGGGGACCCATGGGGCTTACATTCTCGTACAGAACTGCCCATGGGTTCCCGTATAGGAACCCAGGGATTAAATTGCCATACGGGATAAATCCTCAGTGCATAAATGTTCATGAATCAACTACCTAAGGTGTGCTGCTGAGAAACGCCATTTCTAGTGATGGAAGAGAAGTAAGCAGCAGAGCAGTCTGGTAGCTTCAAATCGCTGCTTGTGTTTCAGTGTTGGTGTCGCCCGTTCCCATATGGTACTAGGTACTCCTTCCTTAGTACTAGGTATACCTACGCCCGATTATGACCTCAGATTTCTCAGTCACCAACCATTTTCCTGCCAATGTGATTATTTTCGCATTAGGTAAGTACTTAATGGGCATAGAAGGTAACCGGTAACAGTCACAAAAACACCGAAAATGTCTGAAAATGCGCATCTATCGGAAGAAAATAGCTTTCCCAGGGAATTGGTGGGTGATAAATAAATCTGAGGACATATCCAAGTTCAGCAGTTCAAAACAAGTAAGGATCGATGTATCGCACATCGAAGAATTGTTTAATGTTTTCTTTCATACGCCTATAGTCTGGGATGAAGCTTTTACACAAATACAGGCTTAGGAAATTCAGCTTCTCTGGGGAACCGGACGGTGATGAAAGAATGGGAGGTCATATTCGGAGATTTAGCAGCTTTTCAAAGTACATAAGAATCACGCTACCGTGGGTCCGGGAAAATTTATTAAAATAAATTGCGCATGCATGACAAAAATACGTCACATTTCTCAATTTCCGTGGAAAAATTGACTTTCCCAGAAAAGTTACAGGTGACAGGAAATTGTATAGGCCATTTTCGAACTTAGTGGCTCAAAATACATTGGGACAGACCTATCTTGCACCACAGAAAAATGTTAGGTGAAACGTCTGGAATATCCCCATCAGCAACACACTTGACACGGGCTCGCTCTGGAAGCGTAAAGAGCGTAAATTTTGGGGGCACCTCTCCAAAAACCCCAAAAACTTGAGTAAAGCGACTCCGGGCAAGTCACCATCTTCTAACAAAATACCTCCAAACTTTCTTATTCGTTTCTCTTAAAGGAAAATATTAATGCACAAGAGTTTCCATTGCTGTCTCAGGGAATCTCCAAGCTGACCTGAGAACCGAACTCTTAGTCCGTGTTGCTAACGCGCTAAAACATTTAACAATTTCTCTAGAGCTCACTAGCAGGTAGCCTTTAGTCCTTCATCAGTATTGAAGTTAGTAATTTGTCACCATATGATCCGTCACATGTTATGTAAACTCAACAACTTTATTTTATGACCTAGAAGTGCTCAATAGAATGCAGTCTGTCTGACAAGTTTTCTTATTTTATTATTCCCATGACATCAGGTTATAGGTCCAGCAAAATCTTGCCACAGAAAAAGTGAGTTTATTCTCAAAAAGTGAGTTTTAACAGTCAGGTTATCTCAATAGGTTATCAGGTCATTGGATCCGGCGGTGTCGAAAGTGGATCGCTGATGGTAAACCAAGAAAAACTGAAGAAAAATAGGAGGCCGTAAATACAGGGTGATCCAAAAGTCCCTTCCACCCCCCCCCCCCAACTTTTTACCTAATTGAGGTAAAGATTTGAAACTTGGGGGATAATCCTAAGTCAAAGGGAGCTACTTTTTGGCCCCCCTAAAATTTTCAGGGGGTCCCCTGGGGGGGGGGGGGTGGACAACGGCCCCCAACTTTTAATTTTCAAATGGGAAGACCCCCTTTGTGATAGCTCGTTCGAAAGAGCATAAAAAAAGAAAGCTTTTCGCGCAAACCTGAAGTCAATTATCTCAAACCGTTTCAAAATGGCGGCCGGTTAAAGTTTAAAATGGCCGAAAATTCACACCGGTTATTTGTCGATGGATTTGCGCGAAAATCGGTATGTAGGGGTATTTTGTCACGAGAAAAACGAATTTGCCGTTAAATTTTCAAAAAAACCAAAATTTCCAAAATGGCCGCCGGTTAAAGTTTAAAATGGCCGAAAATTGTCACCTCGGTTTTTTCCTGATAAATTTGCCTAAAAATTGGAATTTGAGAGTATTTTGGCATAAGATAAACAAATTTGAACTTAGATTTCTAAAAAAAATCAATTTTTGGTCATTTTGAACTTTAACCGGCGGCCATTTTGGAAATTTTGGTTTTTTTGAAAATCCAACGTCAAATTCGTTTTTCTCGTGTCAAAATACCCCTACATACCGATTTTCGCGCAAATCCATCGACAAAAAACCGGTGTGAAGTTTCGGCCATTTTGAACTTTAACCGGCCGCCATTTTGAAACGGTTTGAGATATTGACTTCGGGTTTGCGCGAAAAGTTTTCTTTTTTTATGTTCTTTCGAACGAGCTATCACAAAGGGGGTCTTCCCATTTGAAAATTAAAAGTTGGGGGCCGTTGCCCCCCCAAGGGGTGCCCCCTGAAAATTTTTGGGGGGCCAAAAAGTAGCTTCCTTTGACCTAGGATTATCCTCCAATTTTCCAATTTTTACCTCAATTAGATAAAAAGTTAGAGGGGGTGGAAGGGACTTTTGGATCACCCTACATTAGCAAACTGTAGATGAAGACACAGTTGCCTTAGTTACACTCGGTAGGTAGTGAAGAAAGCGTTTTTTTCAGCTGAGTGTGAAGGTTTGTACATCGACAACGGAGCAACGAAGCATGTGACTCACAGTAAAGGTTATTATAGAGACTACGAGGAGTTTTCCAGTTGCCTAGAGATGAAAGCTGCAGGAAAAGAAAGCTTAAAAGCATTATGGTAATCGACTGTATCGATGTCAATGCTTAGTAATCAAGAACTTTTTACAGAAGGGAAAGAAGAGGATAAGAATTCTACATTCACTTAAAGACAAGCAGTGGGTGTCTTGATGTACTTGATGGTATAGGCACAGGGCCTGATTTAGCGTATTCTGTTGGCGTACTGTCAAGATGTTTGGAAAATCCATCAGCTGAGGACATCAACCGTCTTAAACGTGTTTTTAGATATATTTCCGGGTCAACGGATCTAAGAATCACCTATTCATTAGATCAGCAACAGAAAATCTTAAAAATCTACAGTGATGCGGATTTTGGAGGATGCTTTAAAACCGAGCTTGGAATGTGAGGAGAGTGTCACTAAAACCGAGCTTGGAATGTGAGTAGAGTGTCAAATTGAGGAAGTTATAATTTAAGGTGTCAAAATGGGGAAGGTATTGAAGTTATTAATTTGTCACCATATGATCTATCACATGTTAGATAAAAACTCAATAACTGTTTATTTTATAACCTAGAAGCGCTCAATAGAATGCACTCTGCCTGACAAGTTTTCTTATTTTATTATTCCCATTATAACATCACAGATGCATGAACTGACTCCTTGAGGTGCGGGCAAGTCTTATTAAAATTCACGTCATCTTCTGAAAATTAGCTAAAATTTTTACCACGAAGAAGAAGAAAATCGAGTTTAATTATTTTCGATCCACGATGCATAAAATGAGAGGGCTCAGGTAAGTCTCTTAAAATTATTGATGCAACCCGCATGGCTCTGGAGTTAGCGGAAACTTTCTTAAAGGATCTCATAAGATTTTTCCTACGCAATATTCCCCTTCAAAAATGAATGATACAACAAGCGCGTCATGTATAACCGCGAGAGCTCCTCAGAGTCTTTTGGAAGAGGAATATTTTGGTCTGGTAAGAAAAATATTCAACCTTTTTTTTCTTCTCCTCTCATTTCTCGTATTGATAGAGGCGAAATTTTTTTCGAAGAAAAATTGTATGCTAAGAGCGACTGGAGAAATGTTCGATTGAATGTTTCAAAGTCTTCAGTTGATTTACAAGTTGGCAAAAATGCAAAAAGTAATTTCTCATATTTACTAGTGGATTTGAAACTTCAAAATACGGTCCAAGATGTAGGTAACTGCAAATTGCAGTGTCTAATCTGCAGATTGATCCTTAGTGAGAGCATTGTGCCGAACGCGTCATGCTTTCCAAAAAACTTCGCCTCTGTCAATACGAGAAATGAGAAGAGAGGAAGAAAAAAAAAGGTTGAATATTTTTCTTACCAGACCAAAATATTCCTCCTCCAAGAGACTCTCAGGAGCTATCGCGTCATCCATGACGCGCTTGATGCATCATTTATTTTTGGAGGGGAATATTGCGTAGGAAAAATCTTATGAGAGAGATCCTTTAAGAAAGTCTCCGCCGACTTCAGAGCCGTGCGGGTTGCATCAATGATTTCGGGAGGCTTACCTGATGCCTCTCATTAGCATACCTATTGTGGATCGAAATTAATTAAATTCGATTTTCTTCTTCTTCGTGGTAAAAATTTTAGCTTATTTTCAGAAGATGACGTGAATTTTAATAAGACATGGTCGCACCTCAAGGAGTCATTTCATACACTTTAAAGGCACAAACAAGGCAAAGAGGTTGCGGTGTGTTTTTTGGTCTGATGAGGGACTATAGTTACCTGCTAGTGAGCTCCCAGAGAAATTGTTAAATGTATTAGCAACATGGACGGTGAGTTTGATTCTTAGGTTAAATTTTACGTGCACCTGGGCATTGCACGCCCGCCCGGCAATGGGCCGTTGCAGCAACGTTGTAGTAACGTCGCAAAAAATCAAGTAACGTTCCTGGCCTACGTTGTCACAACGTTGGTAAAACGTTACTTTTGTCCGCGGAGCGCAACGTTTCGAAGTAACGTTGCCACAACGTTGCTGAAAAAGTAGTCCTAACGTACCTCACTAACGATGTACCTACGCCGCGTAACAACGTCACGCTCTGCGCGGTGGGAGGGGGTGGAGCGGGGGTGGGGGGAGCGGGGGG